GTAACACGGTGAGTGATACTGGGTTATGCATCGCTCCACGTGTTAGAAATTTCACGTTTTATCCCGCGACGTGGGTATTTTTCGTAGCTGGAGGAGACGTTGGTGTGGGCTGAACTTTTGACCCTCGTGGTGGGTAATCCACGATGCAGAAGTTTTGGCGATAGTATCTGTGTGACCCTTATTTGACGTGGGTTTTGTCGTCAAACGAGGAGTCGTAAATCAGGGATACAAACTTTTGAAACAGAGATTGTCATGCAAAAACACTACAGCTCTAACAGCCAGACGGGCATCAGCAAGTTGTTGCAGGGATCGTAATGATGTTATATTATCTTAACGACATTCTGCTTTTCCATAATGAACATAAACCATTTCAGCGTGTTGTCCTCATTGGCGATGAAAGGAATGCCAGTGAAGGTGATCTGGACGAGAGAGTGCGAGGACGCGCTCCAGAGATTACAAAAGGCATTGAATAGTAATCCGTTCTTGTGTCTGCCAGATTTGTCTCTGCGTTCTATGTTTCCACAGATGCATCCAATGTGGCCATCATGTCAGCACCCATCAAGACCTTACGCATCCGTAGATGGACAAAGTATTCGCAGACGTTTATCTTCAGTTATTTATTGCCCATGGAAAGAAAATGTCTTGGCCGATTTTTTGTCACCAAATGCACTGGAATAGGATTGATGTTTGTTTGTTGAATTTACATGACATTAATAATTTGTTCTGTTGAGCTTAGTCATTACTATATTTTGCATTCATATAATAACGTATATACGATATATCGAATGTGAGTGTCTGTGTATTCAAGTGTTCTTATTTGCTCTCTCGTATTGGTGCTGTTTGCCGCGACATGACTCCAGTTTTCCGACCGAGACTACGACAAGTCCTAGTGCTCGGTCGTCCTCGGGGAGGGGGGAAAAGCTGTCGCGTGCGGATGTGCACCAGAACGCACCGGTACTGAGTGAGCAAACAAGACGTCAAAACAATACGTCAGGTTGTGAAGGAATTGTATTCTAGGAGATGCAAGTCGAAGTTTGACCAAGGCGGACGGTTTGGTCCGGCCTTGGTGTGGATCCTTGAGGATGCTTTACCCCGGGATGCCACGGTGGATCCTTGAGGACGTTTTACCCCGGGATGCCACAGTTCGGCAGTAAGCCGGTATACTTCGCAGTTGATGTTTATAGTCCGAAGGAGACGGACGTGGGAATCCTTGAGGACGCTTTACCCCGGGATCCCACGGAAGCAAACGTTATATGAAGTTGGATCCTTGAGGACGTTTTACCCCGGGATTTCAAGATAGACCTCAGCAGGAAGCTGGTAAACACTACATTCTCGGCAGCAAGCCGGTATACTTTCATTGCTTAATTCGGACTTGTCCGAGGACAAAATAATCGTCTGGATCTCAAGGTCGGACTGCGACCTAGCGTGAGGACATATCAATACATGGATGTACGAGTGAGCTTTGGTTGAACGAGTTGATAATTACGTGCATATGTATTCTTGAAGTTGATCATTGCATTTGTCAATACACAAATGGAACTTTTAAAGAGAGTTCTTGTTCTACTACGTTGGAAGCTTCAGCATTCATCATGTTGTGCTACTCTTGGCCAGTGGCATGTTAAGTGTTGATGCCATTTGTTATATTGCGACACCCCTAGTCCCTTTACACTCGTTACAAAGAAGCTCCGCACGTCACACCACCCATGACATCGAAATGATTGCAATGTGGCGTATAGTGGCACAACATGATGATGATAGGGCCCCCAGTCGATTCCTCCTTTATTTCCATGCTTGGAGACCTTTTGGTCATCATCATCAGTATCAATTTTTACTTCTACCGTTAATCGTCGTGGGGAGAAAGAGTTTGTGATCCGTTGTTTGATGTGTAGCAATGGTTATTATTATGCCATCCAACTGTGCCGGCTTGGATCTGATTAGGTGATGTGTTTCTATTGTCAGTTGAAGCTCATTGACATTCTGGGCCATCTGACGACAATGTCCAGGTACCAACAGCCACAGAGAGTCACGCTAAAGAAATACAACGGACACAGAACTAGAGGAAGACCCGCAGAATATGGAACAATTGCATCAAGAACAGTCTAAAGGTAACGAGGACCAACTTAAACAACGCACTGGAAAGAGAACACAGATAAACCTTATCCCCCTTCCCTCCAACACTTCGATGAGGTAGTTGCAGCAAGTGAAGAAGAAGCAGCCGATGTGACCTTATTGACATCTGCATGTGATGCAGAAGTGATGAGCCACATGTGGCTCTGCTCATGACCAGGGCTCACAGCGACCTAGGCCTAGCTACACCTGTCCGCAGTCACCTAAGAAACAGGCAGAGGCTTGAGTAAGTCGTCGCCTCTCGTCCATGTCCAGCACTATGTCATTGCTACCAAGTTTCATATTATTGCCACCAAGTCCCAAATAACTTAGACCAAGTCCCAGGCTACTGCCACCAAGTCCCAAGTAATTGCCACCAAGTCCCGAGTCATTGCCACCAAGTCCCAAGTAATTGTCACCAAGTCCCAAGTAATTGCCACCAAGTCCCGAGTCATTGCCACCAAGTTTCCTGTCATTGCCACCAAGTTTCCTGTCATTGCCACCAAGTTTCACGTCATTGCCACCAAGTTTCATGTCATTGCCACCAAGTCACAAGCAATTGAGATCAAGTCCCAAGCAACTAAGACCAAGTCCCAAGCTATTGCCACCAAGTCCCATGTCATTTTCACCAAGTCCCATGTCATCACCACCAAGTTCTAAGTAATTACCACCAATCGCAAGTCATTACCACCAAGTCTCAAGTCATTATCACCAAGTCCAAAGTCATTGCTAACAAGTCCCACCATTACCACAAAGTCATTGCCGTCGCGTTCTAAGTCATTACCACCAAGTCCCATGTCAATGCCACCAAGACATTGCCGTCAAGTTCTAAGTCACTGCGTCAAGTTCTAAGTCACTGCGTCAAGTTCTAAATCACTGCCATTAAGTCATTTGTTAAGCCTCAAGTCGCAAAGAACGCTTTCTAGCTTTATGTGTATAGGACAATGCTTATAGATCGAATTAGTTAGTCGGTTATAATATCTGTCTGGTAGTCTGGTAGTCTTAGTTTCAGCTTCATAGCAAACAAACGCCCCATCTTTGCTCCGCTCCTGTGCCAGCGAAAAACACCCAGAATGTTTATCACAGTCCCTTGTGGAAAGATTGACAGACTGCTGTCTCAGCATATCTAGCATACACTCGCATTAAAGCATATGGTAGCCATCCGAAGTGCTAACACAAACAGTCCAACATTAGACATGCAGTTCATCATTAATGATAGCAGAACTTGTCGCCAACAGATTAGCAGTTGCCCACGCGATCAATTTTAATACGGGCCCCGCCAGCATTGCACGACAGGCATCGCGCCATTTTCGGAATCTACAATTCACACCACGTTGGTCACAGTCGAAAAAAAAAAACATTCCAAATGCAATCCGCAGCTCAAAGGGTCACGCCATGCATTCAACTCAGAAGCTGGGCGACGAAACTATATCCAGTCTACAAAGGGAGCAAAAATGCATCGGCCACCGTCCGGCAGAAGCAAAAAATTTGCCTCTGCTCCGAACAGCGCCGCTGTCTAGCGTCCATTTTAACCGGATGTTATAATATGAGAACATCAGCCAACAAGTGTTTTGATTGTGTATTAAAATAACGGAATTAAATGCGTAAATCTGTATATTGAAGGTATAATAAATTTGCAGAAATCTTAAAAGTTGTTACATTATTGTATTTGATCGCCAAGTCTCAAAGTAAGCGACTGCAAAGATCGAGTTGTATCAAGTCTTCGAAGCTATAAGTCGAGTCTCGGGACAAAACCGCAGGTCAGGTCGCAAGGTCGTTAATTACACGATTTCATCGGACTCGAGCTCAGGCCGCACGAATCGAGTCCCGACCCCCCCCCCCCCCCCCCCCCCCCCGGGCCAAGGTTTCCTACCGGCAAAATTAGACAAAAGCAACGCTTCTTTCTAAAGCCTGACAGCAAAGGTTCAGCAGTGTGCACACAAATAACCCAAACCTGTTAAACTGATGTGCACACAAAACTTCAGTCCTGGAGTATGGCCAAAGTCGAAGCAAGACTAACTAGAACTTTCTTCCGCTAGTGAACGTGAAGAGTGAGGAAAGAAGTAGAAGACATCTACATTAGAGTTTCCTCAAAAAAAGGCAGTTGTGAGCCAAAATATATTTCTCTCATGTGTGTGTGTTGGGCACAAGAAGTAGCACAACACTTGCTTATTATAACCGACTAAATAATTTCATAGATAAGCATTGTCCCAAACACATGAAGCTAGAATGCATTCTTTGCGACTTGAGGTTTGACCACGGCCTTCTCTATTTATAATATACAGCAGGACCTGGTTTGACAAAGGACTTGGTGGCAGTGACTTAGAGCGCAGTGACTAAAGATGCTGAGTGGGAAATGGGGGGGGGGGGGGAGTGATGTGGACAATAGAAACATTAAAGTCAGTTCAACTAGAAGTGGAAGAAATGAAAATCGTCAACTGTAGCGAAAGCCTCGGGGGGAGAAATTTGAAAATTGTGTCTAATCTTTCTTTCTCTCTTCCCTTTTGAAACAAAATTATGTGCCTTGAGAATTGTATCAAACTCAAACTGCCTAACCTTGGAAATCCCTTTTTTGCCGCAATAAGACAGTTATAATGTGCCTAAGCCGTCAGGTCGTAGACAACTTTCGATTTTTTTGTAATTAATTAACTGAATCGATGACAATAATATAATGTTTGACGATAAAATAACATGCAACATTGCGGTTGTTTTCGTGGAAATGGACACAAATTTACACAACCGGAAGCGGAAATTATTCTATTGTTGATACACTCTTCGGCTGCTGTTCTCCACGTCAACTTACAAACTCCTCCGGGATTTATCGGAGTTTTCACCGTAGTGGATGGTATAATTTTATATAGTGAGCACAGTAACTAAATATATATTATAACGAGATGGCCAAGCTACTTGTAGCTATCGCTCTGACAGTTGTTACTTTCGAATTATCACTGACAAAGGAACTTACTTTCGAGCTTCCCGATAACGAGAAGATGTGTTTTTATGAAAATATTGAGCAAGGAGAGCAAGCGACTTTAGAATTTCAGGTGAGAAAAGTGTATTTTTTTTATTTAGACGTTTGCTGTATCTTACGAGATTTGATGTTTTTCTCATTGAACCATAAAACCACGGACGGTTGAGACTCAATTTATACCAGTTGGGTCAGTTGGTTTGATAAGTTTGCTAGCTAAGAACTTTCCACCGAAGTTTAAAAAAAATTGCCGGCGCAGTACAAATTAAAAAAAAAAAAAACAGCGACGCTATTAAAGTTTAAACTAAACTTAACTACCAAGTCCAACCCCAAACCATGTTAAAATGAAAAGTTGTTACGCTACTTATTTACTAGTTTAACTTCTCAGCGCTGTTGTAATAAACACTGAGATGAGCACTGGTACTGGTACCTTTATTAGATACTAATGGGTACCGGCACCTTTTCCCTGGAAAAGTAAGTCCTAAATAAATGTAATCGCCGCTCAGTGTAATCTGGTATCTGAGGATCTGGGAAAAGTTTGAAGGCATTTAATTATTTATTACCTAATCGGACAGCTTATTTCAGGACATATTCAGTAGAGTTTCTCTGATTTTATCCTTCCATATTGTTCTTGGTCAACCTCGTGCTCTACGTCCTTCTTCTCTTTCCATGTATGCTTTGTATGGTATGGTGTCACAAGGCATTCTCTCTAAGTGGGCAAACCATTTCACTTGCTGTCTTACTGTCTTTGTATGTAATCCAGAATTGGTTCTGTGCCGACTTTTTCTCTTATGATTTCATTCCTGATCCTATCTCTTATGGTCACTCCTAAAGCCCTTCTCAGACATCTTATTTCCGTGGTTACTAATTTTCTTTTATGGTTTGTTGTGAGTGACCATGTCAGGCACTGGTAGCACAGAGTTGGAATAAATATGCTTTGAATAAGATTGTCTCTTTGTGCTGATTAGGATTGTCTTATGCTGTAAGAGGGGGGCTAGCTGTCCCAATACTTGGTTTGCTTTACTGCATCTAATGTTAATTTCTTTATCCAATTTCCCATCTTCGGTAAATGTAGTTCCCAGATATTTAAACTCAGATGCCTGTTTAATGCCTTTGCACTCTATTGCTATGTTAAAGATTTTTTTTTTATAATGACCTACAACTAAGCAGTAGGCATTTTAACTCAGTTGTGAATCAGAGTATCACTTTCTAAATAGGTCAGACAAAAGACACGACAACAATGGACAAAGTTTACGAACTAACAACTCCAGCTAGATGCTGAATTTGTTGTCTACCTATACATTTCAGTGTTGGTTCTGTGCCGACTCTCCTCCTGATATCATTGTTTCCTAAGTCGATCTTTCCTCATTACACCTAGACTAGTACATAAACATTTCATTTCTGTCGTGCTATTTTCCTTCTGTCTTTTGAAGACAGTATCCCGGTTTGACATTAATAACATAACAATGTTTTAATTCGTTATATTATATAATAAATATTTGCACACATAAATTTGTTTCAGCAAACAGGTAATTCATAAATGGAAAAAAAATCATTACATTAATGCTTTAAACAGTTGTGAGTCCACATTGTGGTAAATCTTACAAGCTAGGATTGTACCTGACCAGTTAATTTTGTGATAAAGTAGGTATTGCTGTCTTTGGTGCAATTCAGTCACCTGACAGCAATTATCCCTTTACTAGTTATTTGTGAAACTTATGTACACAATCTGTGAAAAGATTATCTACCATTATGATTGACGTGGTAACTTAAATAATGTATCGTTGATTTAATTGACTCCCCTGTCCAAACAAATGATTAAAACAATATTTGTTTAGCAAACTATTCATTTCCCCTTGTATGTTTGGAATATTTGTGTTTTATGTTACTAATTTGAAAGTAATGATCTATTGAAGCCTCATTCTTTTGACAATGATCCACCACTAAGCAGTATACATTTTTACACAATTTTAAGTCAGAACACAAATTTTACTTTCCCAGATAGTGATTAAATTATGAATAAAATCATCATATACATCAGCATGATATCCCATGCTTTTGCTAGCACTGATTTCAAGTGAAGCAGAAGATTGAGTTTTGTTATTAGCAAACAATCTTCTTCAACATTCTGAGCTGTTGAGGTCAGTTGCCACAGACGTCACTGCCTGTGTTCAGCTCTGTAATTGCCATTCTCCTTCCAGTTGGCGACTCCAGTGTTTAAAGGTCTGCTTAGTTATTATCTCTCCACAATCTGCTTGGTCCTCCTCTTAGCCTGCTCCCAGTCAGTTCTTTTGTGTACAGTTTTTATCTCTTATTTTCTATATATGCCTTCGGCCATCGGAGTCTAGTAATTAATGATGATTGAAACAAATTGGGAATTTTTTTTATACTTCCTATTCTCCGTTCTCTTGCCCGGCTCTCTAGCGAAGTTGGTTAAACCTGACTTTCGTGGCGGCCGGGTGACGAACTCCTTGTAGTCCGGGTTCACTCCCGGGGGTAGGCAGAAAAGCCACATTTCTCCCAGATTAACGGTACCTATAATGGAATCAATGCCAAAGGGTTGCAATATCCATAGTACCGAGCCAAAGGGTTTACAACTCATGGTTTCTGGATACGTAAAAAAAAAAAAAAAATTCTCCGTTCTCCGCTGTTTTTGCCTTTGATGAATTGAAAGATTTGTCATGTAATTATGTTTTAAAATGTTTGCAAAACAGCTTCATTTTTTAAAATATTTATCCTCCAAGTTTCAGAACCATATAGCAAACACTTTTTTTTAGTGTGGCATTAGTTAGCTCCCATTGCTACATACACCTGTGAGACCTAAGACTTAGTAAGCAAGCTTACCAGCGCATAAATGCCTTTGAATACAAATGTTATAAACGGATTCTAAGAATATCATGGGTAAAGAACAGAAAAAATGCATCCATACTTCAAGAATTGTAATTTGAAGAAGGTTGGCTATTAAAGACGATTAAACACCACAAATTGAAATATTTGGTCACTTGAAACGTCACAAAACTTTGGAGAGAACAACAATGATATGCCTGGGAAGAGAGAAAGAGGAAGGCCAAAGAAAAGATGGGTGCAGGATGTGGCAGATAAGGGTGCATCCGGCGCGGGACATCTTGCTTGTGATCGAGAAGTTTTCTGGAGGGTTGTTATGTGTGCGAAGCTCTGCAAATCTGCAAAGGACATGCTACTGACTGACTGATTAGTTAGCTCAGACACTATTCAATCCTCAAATGAAGATGGTCTTTTTTTCTGTTTAGGAGGGGCAGATAACAGTGAAGCATAGTTTTTGATATTCTAGAATATCCGGGCACAGCATTGTTTAGCAAAGAAAAATTACACATGGACTATGAAGACACGTGTCTTCCAAACGACAGCCAAGATTGTCACCTTTATTCTGTTATTTAATTCTCTGTTTATATTTGGATTTCTCATCAGGTGATAACTGGTGGCAATTATGACGTTGATATGGAGCTGACAGGTCCAAATTCCCAGGTAAGTTGTGTTTTCTTTATTGATATCAGGGCCATTTTTCTCTGGCATTATGCAGCAGTAGTCAGCACTGGCACTTTTTTTTAAAGGTGTCATTTGTTTTCAGTGCTAGTATAATAGACAGTTTGTGGTGAACACAGCCATTTTTAAAATATGCATTTTGCAGTGGGGTGTTATCACATTTTATATGTTAAAAAAAAGATCTGATTATCAAGGAATCCGTTACGCGGCTGTTTATAATTCTCATTTTGTGATTTTCAGCAGCTTGTATCTGTTCATGTGCTGACAGTTTTGTATGCCTTGACAAAGGGCTTGAAGAAAGTGTCTTATTATATTCCTTTTTCTCTCATTCTGTAAGTCTTCCCAGTAGTTACCTGTTCAAGTTCCCTTGTTGGTTCGGTGGCCCTGTTTAGGAAAAAGGGGGGGGGGGGGAATAATAGACCTGCTGCCTCCTAACAAGATGTCTTTCCTTCAAAGTCTGCGTGCATCTGTCTTGGAAACAAGAAACCCACAGCCAAATCTGTAAAATGGATATGCACACAAAACTCCAGTTCTAGAACAAGACTAAAGTCTGGAAAAGGATGAACCACCAGGAGTTTACAGCTCGTGAATGCTAAAAAAAAGAACAAGATACATCTGTCACTTTTGTTTCCTTTCTTTCTTTTTGTTAGTTTCACAGTGTGATAATCGTTAGAGTATGTTATCACTGCACATTAGGCGTTCCCTTGCATCAGCCGCTCCACGGTACCTCTACTGATTGTTCCAATGAGAAGTTAGTTATAATTCCTACTGTCTTGGTCTCGAGGATGGCGTTGACATGCTTCACAAAACATTACTCTGAGGTCACACAATCATGTTAACATCAGAGATTCGTTATCAGCCAACAAAGTCCTTACAGTATTAATGATATCAGCTCTGTCCGTGCTTCATGTGATGTTGGTCTTTGTATCTCAGTCTGTTTCCAGATAATTAGTTTACTAATTTTGGCTGTCCAGGGTTTTTTATTCTCCTGTAATACCACATCTCTGAGATTTAAAAAAAAAATTCACATCCATTGGTTAATATTGGATCTATGTATATATAAAAAAAAGGAATAATTATTTCTTAACTGCGCACTGTAATTGTCCATTGTTGTCTGACTGGTTGATGCTCATTCAGTTGTTAGCATAAACACAGCGCAGTTTTGCTACCAAATGACCCACAAACGAAATGAACCTGGTATATTAGAATCATAAAACTGTTCATAGTCCCTAAACCACAGTCGCCAATGATAGCTGGCTAGTTACATTGAAAACAAAACTGTCCTTGACAGTAAGGGTTGCAGTATTGTGAGGTCAGTAAAAGTAATAACTTTGTCTGTGTCCTCGACAGTAGTAAGGGTTGCAGTATTGTGAGTTCAGTAAAAGTAATAACTTTTCCGTGTCCTCGACAGTACAGTAAGGGTTGTTCCCTGGTGGGTTCTGGCGCCCCATTGTGAGGAAAACAATGAAGAAGAAGAAAGCTCAAAAGCGTAAGGCAGAGTCGACTAATCGGGAGCTTTCTTTGAAGTCGGAGTGCATCTGCCTGAGGGGCAAAGAACTAACAGTCTGCATTCAAGTGAATCAGATCTGTAAAACTGATGCACATGCAACACTCAGGTTCTGGAGCAGGACTGCAGTCCAGGAGTGGACGAACAACCAGAATTTTTCGCCAGAGTGTACAACTGGTGAACGTGAAGGAGAAGAAGAAGTAAGGGTTGCAGTAACGTAAAGTCATTAAAAGTAATCACTTTTCCATGTCCTCGACAGTAAGGGTTGCAGTATTTTGAGGTCAGTAAAAGTATAACTTTTCTGTGTCCTTGACAGTACGGTAAGGGTTGCAGTAACGTAAAGTCAGTAAAAGTAATAACTTTTCTGTGTCCTCAACAGTACAGTAAGGGTTGCAGTAAAGTAAAGTCAGTAAAAGTAATAACTTTTCTGTGTCCTCGACAGTAAGGGTTGCAGTAAAGTAAAGTCAGTAAAAGTAATAACTTTTCTGTGTCCTCGACAGTAAGGGTTGCAGTAAAGTAAAGTCATTAAAAGTAATCACTTTTCCATGTCCCCGACAGTAAGGGTTGCAGTGTTTTGATATCAGTAAAAGTATAACTTTTCTGTGTCCTTGACAGTACAGTAAGGGTTGCAGTAATGTAAAGTCAGTAAAAGTAATAACTTTTCTGTTCCTCGACAGTACAGTAAGGGTTGCAGTAAAGTAAAGTCAGTAAAAGTAATAACTTTTCTGTGTCCTCGACAGTAAGGGTTGCAGTAAAGTAAAGTCAGTAAAAGTAATAACTTTTCTGTGTCCTTAACAGCATCTTTGAGAATCTTAAAACAACAAAAAAACTGGCTCGGCTACCAGACATATCAGCGACTTTAAGAAGCTTAATGTCGCGTCTTCACAGAAGATCTCAACCAGCGAGTTTCGTTTGCACTGGTCAATCAAATTACCTTCCCTATGTGGGTTCTACTAACCCCCAATAAGCATGCCATGAAAGGTGCCTAATGAGGGTTCTGCCTGACTCACTAGGCCCCTTAATGTTTGGCACAAAGATCATTATTGTTTTCATTCAATATTGTCATGAAAATTCTAACCACTTGCTATGTTATGGGAATTAAAAGTAAATGAAAGAAACCTCAATGGTTGCCAGATTTATTTAGTGTACACTAGCCAAAGCTTAAATATAAGAAGACACTTGATGTGGTGTTTGAGATGTATTGGGGAATAGTCTTCTTCTTCGCGTTCACCAGCTGTACACTCTGGCGGAAAGTTCTGGTTGTTCGTCCACACCTGGACTGCAGTCCTGCTCCAGAACCTGGGTGTTGCGTGTGCATCAGTTTTACAGATCTGATTCACTTGAATGCAGACTGTTGGTTCCTTGCCTCTCAGGCAGATGCACTCCGACTTCAAAGGAAGCTACCAATTAGTCGACTCTTACGACATGCTTTTTGGTAGGCAGTGGGTCTATTCTTGTTTTCCCCCCACAATGGGACCCCGGATCCCACACGGGGAAGGGGAATAGTCAGTAGCACATCGTGTGTTGTTTGGGGCTGAAGGAGTTAAATCTGATGTGTGGGGCCAAAAGGCTTAGATATCAGGGCCTAGCTGTAAACCACAGTGTGCCAGCCGCCTTTTTAAAAGTGAATGAAGAAGAAGAAAGTAACTAAGGCTAAGAGCTGAATTAAAGATTGAAGTAATAAGGGTGAGATAACTCAATAAACTTATGAGACTGTTTCATTAGAAACTGCCTTGGACAACAAGAGTTAGTTTACTTTGTTGTTTGTTGTTCCTGAAACAGGTTTTATACAAAGATGTCAAGAAGCAGTATGACAGCTTTACCTGGACAGCACAACAAAAGGGTGTCTACACATTTTGTTTTTCCAATGAATTTTCTACTTTCACACACAAAGTTGTCTACTTTGACCTGCAAGTCGGAGATGAGAGGCCGGCAGCGGAAGAGTTGACCGATCACCAGACAGCCTTGACATTGGTTAGTTGTACTTTGTTTATTTGTCGGAGATTGGGGTACAGTGCAGTTCTCTGTGAATGAAATAGTAGTGGTGAAGATGACTAAGAAACATATCTATGGCTGCTAAGGTTTATGCTGCTCATAATGAGTTCATTGATAAGTCTTGTACAGTTGAGTTGATTCAAAAACCGGCATTACAACACTTAAGGCATTCCCATAAGTACTGCGTCATTCCCATAAGCACTGCCTCCCTATCTTCAGCAGCCAGTGCAGAGTTCCTATACCAGTGCTACCAGCAGCGGTCTAATTTTGCCTTTCTTCCTTGCAACATCACTCTCACCAAACTGACAATCCATTTACTCCTCCGAATTATACACGTGCTCCCATAAGGCCCTAACCACGCCTGCCTTATCATGCTTAATTATTCCACCAAGTTGTGCACAGCCAGCCAGTCTGTCAGCCTGTTCATTTACCGACACACTGGCATGCCTCAGACATAAGTACGAAACTTAGAGAGTTTTCCTTTCATTTGGTGAATATTTCACATTTCTGTCTTGTTTCGTTGATTCTTGTGACCGGTCAAAAGTTGCCAAAACTTTACGGACACATGGTATAAATATGAGTCATAGCACGAAAAGAGATATAAATATATGCAGTCTACTTCTTCTTCTGTTCTCTACTCCTACAATGCCTCGCTGCGTCAGGGCAGGGAGAGATCTCTGCAACGGCCCTTCTGTTTGATTCTTATAAAGTTCTTTTCAGTATCTCTGAAATTTCTGCTGTCTTATCTTCTGTGTGACGACCTCTATATCTGTTACCCTTGTATCTGTAAAACAATGCTCTCTGTGGTGCCCTCTCTGATGCTGATCTTGTCACATGGCTAAAGCATTTGGTTTGTTGTCTGCCTAGAAAGTTCAGTTTTGGTTTTGTGCCGACTCTCCTCCTGATGCAATACAACCTCATTACAACAAATTTCAAGGAACCGAAAAATCTGGTTCCTGTTAAAAAAAGATTGTGCTAACCTGAGACTAATAATAATACATCCCTACTGCAAAAAAATTTGTGTTCATGTTAACTGAGTGTTCTTCTAAAGTGAGTTCCTGTTAAAATGGCTTTACTTTATATTTAATTGAAGCTTTTATTTTTTTTTAGAGTTGAGATCAAACTAACTTTTTAGCAGATAATGTTGTCTTTTCATCCTCCTCCTGCTGTCATCTCCCAATGTAACATAGGCCGTCAGCAGACTTAAGCCATATTCTTTGTAGACTTGATAAATTGGTAGGATTTTGCTGCCGCATTTTATACAAGATGAAAAGCCATTCTGACACCAAGCCTACTTCATCAGCTCTTACAGCTTAATCGATGTCTCTCATTAACTATTTTGTTTCCCTTACATGCTGTGGTCACACGGGACACATTATTTGTCCTCGTGTTCGTCCTCTGAGCTCCCTTAATTGGTGTCTGAAAAAACATAGGGCACGTTGTGACAGGTTAATGAATCACTCCTCTCTCCCCCTCCTCCTAGCTAAGGTTGTCATTTGGTGTTATTCCAACTGAGGGTTCTTGGATCTCATTTGGGATGCCCTCCAGATTAGTATGTTGTTAACAAGCAACTAATTAGGTGTTTATTCCTCTTCTTCTTTGTTGACCGGCGGAAAGCTTCGGCTAGTTTTTTTGTTCATTTGGACTTTGGCTTTGAGACAGGGTCTGATATTTGCATATAAATCCATTTTACTGACTTATATGTGTGCAGTTGGTTGTTCCTTGCTACTCGGGCAGATGTACTATGACTTCGAAGGAAGTTCCCAATAGCCGACTCTTATGACATGCTTGTTCGGGAGGCAGAGGGTCTATTCTTCTTTTCCCCCACCAATGGGGTCCAGGAACCCACACGGGGAAGGGGTTGACTGAAATCAGATGGGATGGATATCGCAGCCTATCTTCAAGCTACAACACAACATGCCAACCATCCTTTTAAGAGTGGAACACAGATGAAGAAGAAGATTAGGCGTTACTCATGTCAGTAGCTGCCAAGTTTACAGACAGGCAATAAAAGGCATTTACAACCAATGTGCAGCAGATGCAACCAGCATGCCTATATTCTGATAACTGCTGAGAAAGACTGAACACAAAATGGCATGTCCCGAGTGTGTGAAAACATCTATTTACTCAATGAGTTGATCAAACATCTCAAAATAGTAATTGTTCTGATGTTGCCATGAACAGTTTTTGTTTCCCAGTTTTCTGTTTAGAACAGATTTCATGTCTCTGTATTGTTATACTCATTTATCTTCCAAGAGAAGAATCAGTTCTAGCCAGTCAGATATCTTAAAATTATAATTATTCTGTTATTAGTGTTAAGTTTTTCTTTTGCAATTATCAGCTTATACTTCTTCTTGGTTCACCGGCTGTGAGCTCCAGCGGAAAGTCCTGGTTGTTCATCCCTTTGAACTTGGACTTTGTGCCAGGGCCTGAGTTTTGTGTGTATATCTGTTTTACTGGCTTTTCTGTGTGCAGTTGGTTGTTCCTTGCCACTCAGGCAGATGCACTCTGACTTTGAAGGAATCTTTCAACTGGCCAACTCCTGTTTGTTTTTTCCCCCACAATGGGATCCCAGAACTCACCCAGGAAGTCAGCTTATACATAAGTGAATGAATGAATAAATCAAGAGTTTGCATCACAGAACCATGGATATTCCCACACATGATGCATCCCCATCTTTAGTAGCCAACTGTGAGTCCACATGCTAATAGTACTAATTGCAAGCTCATTAAAAGAACGCCTGTGTTTTAGTTATGCATAAATAAAATGCGGTTGCTACGGCAAGAACTGATGCAAACATGTGTCATGTGTCCCAATGGCATGAAACAGCATCCTTAATTTTTTTTTCGGGCGATACAATAAAACCTTGTTAACATGAAAGTTAATGCCTGTTTGCTATTGTCTTGTCTTGTCAGATTCATTTTAACAAACATGTATCTTCGATAATCTATAGATGGAAACTTCGACCGTCAACATCTTTGATAATCTAAAAAGTGTGCTAGACTACCAGACTCATCACCGACTTCGAGAAGCTCAGGGCCGCGTCTTCGCAGAAGACCTCAACCAACGGGTTTTGTACTGGTCAATTGGTGAATCGCTGCTCATCATCTTGATAGGGATTGGCCAGATACTGGTTCTGCGGAGCTTCTTCACAAACACCCACAAGACACCGGCAGCAACGTGAGGATAAGAGATATTTCTAGGGTTTTTGTGGTAGTGACGTTTGTGTTGCAGTATGTGTTTGTCGGGGTGCTAGGTTTTGTTGTTTGGTTGCAAATGATGTATATTTTCATATGTAAGCCAAGTTTATTGTACATTCTCCTAGGTTATTTAGAAAGATGGTTGGTTGTATCATGTTTATGTATGTACATATTTTAATAGGGTTTATCGTCACAGTCTGAAAAGAACGGTCCATCGAGGAATTACCAGCGAATTTGGTCGAAACTGAAGGAAAGTGCAGGACAAATGTTCAGATTGCTACCGGTATCATTGAATTTTGAACACAGCACTGAATGTTGAAAATATTAATGGGCATAACTCAGTTTCCTGTGTTGGTTCCGCGGCTCTATTATTTTGGAAGGAGGGGGGGGGGGAAATAGACACACTGGCCCCTTAACAAGAATGTCGCAAAAATCAACTGATTAGGGGTACTTCCTTCAGAGTTGGAACGCACCTGCCTGAGAAGTGCAGTCTGCATATAAATAACCACGATCTTAAAAACAGATGTGCATGCAAAACTCAAGTTCTGGAAAAAGACTAAATTCGAAAAGTGGACAAGCCACCAGAACTTGCAGATGAAGAACTCAGCTCAGTAGCGGGTTTAGGAGCGAGAGGATTGACTTCGTTATGGCTGATTTGATCCTATATGGCTCATCTGTCACGCTTGAGCGGCTGATTGCCACCGTGATCATCACATGATGCACGAGCTCTGTAGCGCCACTAGTGACAGCCTCCCCCTCTGATCTCTAAAGTACTCACACTCCTAAACCAAGGGATAAAGTCTAAGACTTTACTAGTAACTTTCAGAACACCTGACTAATGGCTGAACCACTTTGGAACAGAGACCACTAATTTTGCTAGGCTGTGACATAAAATAAATATGGAATATTGGATCCTTTCCATGTCCAGCGGGAATAGGTTGTCTTGATTATGTAACACGGCAGTTTACTTTAAAACAGGATGCACCATCAAGGGAGATAACTAACTTTGAGTTTTGATGAGCAAAAGGCAGCAGGAATAGTTTGTCTTCATTATGTAACACAGCAGTTTACTTTGAAATGGGATGCACCATCAAGGGAGAAAACTAACTTTGAGTTTTGATGAGCAAAAGGCAGCAGGAATGAAGCTGGTCACCTAATCTCATAAAATTATGAGCTTGTTTGTGTACAGTTGATAACAGTTGTAATCCTCTTGTGCATTGTATGCTATGGAATGAGAGCTTTCATTATAATAATGAGTAACAGCTTTTGAATAAGGGGTGGTTGAAAGGGCAGATAATTCTAGAGTGAGGTTAATAAAGGTAAATAATTCTAGGGTGAGGTTTATAAAGGTAAATAATTCTAGAGTGAGGTTTATAAAGGTAAATAATTCTAGAGGTTTATAATTCGACCGTTAGGTAACACTGGGTAAACTGTACTGCATCTTGTCCGTTAGTAAAGGTCATCAGTTCATCCAGTGCATCCGACAGTCAGTGCAGATGATGTTATCATCTTGATGAGTGTTGTGAGGAGTAACTGCGGTAGATGGACGGCCAGACCGCTTTGCGTCAGCCATTTGACCTGTTTCAGCTTCATCACCATGATGTACCCAGCACCAGACAATGCTAATATCCACTGTTGACTCCATAAATGTTTGTGGATGCGAATTGAAGAATTCTATGACATTATGTTGTTTTAAACTTATGTCTTTGGAAGCCATGTTTAAACCGTTACAGTGCAGAAGAGTTTTTCAGGTGTACTGCTAAATTGACAGCTTGTACACCGATACAGTATTTACATAGATTTAAAAAAACAGAAGGTATTACTTTTTGACCGCCTCTCATAGATTGCACAATTTATTGCCTGGCACATTTTGCTTATCTCGTCAGGTGCATACTACAGTAAAAATAAACACAATGAAGAAGCAAATATACAAATCCTTTGAATCCCAGATCTTTGTAAACGGAAAGACATGAAAATGAACTTGTGTTTGTCCTAGATTTTTTTAAAAAAAGGCAGTTGCTTTTGAGAGTTGCTGAATTTGTATTTCAATTGTAAAGGATTTGTTTATTTGCTGCATTTTATTTAATTGTTACAGCAGAATGCACCTGATGAGAGACAGGCAATAAAGTGTGCAATCTATTGTTTGTGTCTTTGTTAAAATTCTAATATTTATAAATGTCGCCAGTATGTTGAAGTCCGCAGGTCATAACCATTTGTTGACCACTGAATTAATATTACAACCCGCTGTGGTACACGAGAAAATAACATAGTATATAGTATACTTAATGGAGTATATCATGAGGTGCAAGGTACAGGAAGAGATAATTAGTGTTAAAAAAAAAAAAAACGTTTTGTGGTTGTTTTATTGTCTTATCTTTTGTTGATATTTATTTGTTGTGAGTTTTTCACATAATGCTGTTTTGTCTGTTGTACATGGTGAATCAGAACCGTGATGTAGCGGCTAGATTCATGTCTGAAGCTCTAGGGATTGTATCCACATTAAGTCGAATCTGTGCGTTCATAGTTAGTCGCAGTTTAAGAGTTGCTTGTTTGTGAGTAGTGGGGTTCTCATACAAACGCGCAGACACACGTCTTGATGTGATCTCGTAACTCATACGGGAGGGTGGTATAGGGGGTTTGCCATAGCTTTTTTTCTCTCCTGGGGCTTGTCAACATCACTTTGGCCACCTTTACTTCCTAGCACGATCTGGTACCCATTTTAATCTGGGTTGACGTGTTAAGTCCAGATATTTTTTTATTAAAAATCCAGCTGTGTGAGGAATCGAACCCAAAACTTTCTGCCAGGTGAGTGTCTAGATGCTATGCCATTGCAGCTCTCTTTCATGCCATTGGAATATATATAATGTGTTAGCAGAAGTCCAAGGTAAGCCTAGATGTGGGGCCACCAGTGATTTTTTTTTTCCGGGTATCAGTACTCAGAATCGTTCCCCCCCCCCCTTTTCTGCATCATTTTAAAAATCGGTGCAGTGAATGCCGGCACTTTTTTTTTCAAAGACACTATGTGACGGGTACCGGCACTTTTGTTTCTGTAAACAATTCCTGGCGATGATCTGTGTTGAACAAGTTCAATTAGTTGAGTAACCTTTGTAGGACGTTGCAGAAGCAACACTAGCATTTTTTGGGGGGCTATCATGGTTTTGTAGGTAAATATTATGTTCAGTAGTTTGCCACTGCTCTCTGAACGCGGTCAGCTGCCGGTACCACTTTCGAAACCAGCGCAAGACAAATCGTCTGCAGCTGGAATTGAACCCAGCACCCCGACATTACAAAGCGTGTTCGCAGCACCTAAGGCACAAGTAGAGATAACCTAACCTTTATGGTGTCCACTAGAGATCTGGATCTGTGACCACCTGTCCTGTTCAAGTAGAGATATATTTATAATTTATTGTTAGCCTCTTTATATGGGCACAATTGAATCAAAACAGTTAATAATAAAGTCTTTATGTTGTACATAATGTGAGCCTTTTATGAGTCTGTTTCTCTTGTCTGTCTGTCTTGTTATCTGTCTATCTATCTATCTATCTATCTATCTATCTATCTATCTATCTATCTATCTATCTATCTATCTATCTATCTATCTATCTATCTATCTATCTATCTATCTATCTATCTATCTATCTATCTATCTATCTATCTATCTATCTATCTATCTATCTATCTATCCATCCATCCATCCATCTATCTATCTATCTTTTCATCTATATGTCTGTTGGATTGATCTGTATCTGTCCCTTGGGTTGAGGAAATGACAGAGGTAAAGGTGGTGAGCTAGATTCTGTCTATATGGAAAGGTTTTCTCACAACATAATGCAAGGAAAGCCTGTAATCCCCATGTAAAGACGATGATTATCTACCTGTCCATCTGTCTGTCTATCTATCCCTCTCTACCTTTGTTTATATCTCCGTTTATTGTCCAACAGTACTACCTGCCCATCTGTCTGTCTGTCTCTCCCTCTCTCTACCTCTGTTTATTTCTCCGTTTATTGTCCAACAGTAACCTTAAAAGAACAGGGACAGTAAACCGATGTTTGAGAGAATGTAGGTTGGGCTGTGTTTCCAGTACATCATTCTCTCCCCGGCCCACCCCCTCCTTTTTTCTATCTCTTTCTGGCTGTGCTGCTCACAAGCATTATTGGATATTGTCCCTTTCATGTTGTTTAGATCTAAGATAAACAAGTAATAAATGTAAAAAGAACTGCCCTAATCTTGTTCAGATCTGGTGATAAATACACGAATGGCATTTTTGACAGGCTCATTAACAAGCTTTTACATCATGTGTGTGTGTATATTGAGGGTGGCAGATGTTAAAATCATGTATGTGTTTATCAGACGTAGCTAGTATTTCAATCAAGTGTTTTTACGAGGGGTAGCTAACATTTAAATTGAGGGTTTATGAGGATTGGCCGCAAGTAGCGTTACCAGGAATGGCCAATGTTTAAATCATGTGTGTGTTTACGAGTGGTAGCCAACATTTAAATCATGTATGTGTTTAAGAGCAGTAGCCAATATTTAAATCATGTATGTGTTTACAAGTGGTAGCCAACATTTAAATCATGTATGTGTGTTTACTAGTAGTAGCCAACATTTAAATCATGTATGTGTTTAAGAGCAGTAGCCAACATTTAAATCATGTATGTGTTTAAGAGCAGTAGCCAACATTTAAATCATGTATGTGTGTTTACTAGTAGTAGCCAACATTTAAATCATGTATGTGTTTAAGAGCAGTAGCCAATATTTAAATCATGTATGTGTTTACAAGTGGTAGCTAACATTTAAATCATGTATGTGTGTTTACTAGTGGTAGCTAACATTTAAATCATGTATGTGTTTACAAGTTGTAGCTAACATTTAAATCATGTATGTGTGTTTACTAGTGGTAGCCAACATTTAAATCATGTATGTGTTTACTAGTGGTAGCTAACATTTAAATCATGTATGTGTGTTTACTAGTGGTAGCTAACAT